GTACACCAATACGACCACCCATCTGTGACCAATTGTGCCAATTTTAATAATCAAAGTAAAAAAATGTACTACTAAAATTACTGGCAAGATTATCTCAGATATGCAGTCAGGATGGATGGGAAAAACTTCAAAACGTAAGTTGTCTGCATGATAAATGGTTCAAGGGAATATATAATTATGCTAATTTAAATTCCGATCAGACACCCCTCTCACTAGGGCACCGTGAATCGTCGATTAGCGCCGCAGCGAATCGTTTCAGACCGTAAAATAGTGAAGGGCTAGACTGGGATCAGGGCGCATCCCAACGGGGGGACATGATGGGGGGATGCGGTGTGATAGACGGTGGGGGAGCAAGTCGCAGATCTTGAAATACCGATGATGTGACTTCAGCGTGTCTCGTGACAAGCTAACAGGGAGGCAACACAGCTTGTATGTTTAGCTTGAACACGCTGTTCGATACTTCTGAGACTAGGGGAAAGAAGGCCCAAATGACACGCAACGACAATAACAAACGTGACATAATGCTTTCATGCCGTTCTCTTTTGACTGGAAATGATAGGTCGTCAATTAACACGAGCGACTTGGTCGAGTGACTACGCGCGCCGACCGGCAGCCCGCCCGGCCCAACGCTGACCATATGGCACGCAATTTCTGCACAAAACCCGCCCGTGTTTGTTGTGTGTGTTCTTAGAGTTACCGCGGTAATAGGCCAAAGGACCATATTTGCTATACAGGAACACTGGCTAGTAATGGCAAATGAAAAGAAAACACGGCAGAATAGCTTAGCATTTATTCTGGGGTGAAATTTATGATGGATGATTACGCAGTGTTGTCGTTAATGCGCCGTACACGGAGTCTGCAGACACGGCGTGGATGCAGGGGAAGAGAGGTCCGGATCGGTCGGCTTGAGATGGAGGGAAAAAAATGGACAAAACCGTTGACTGATCTTTAATATTGCCTAGCCTGTGGTCATGAACATGTGTCAGGGAAATACTAACAGATTCAGGCACAGTTGGGAACACTTTTCGGCTTGCTTGGGTTTATCTCTCTCTATTTCTCTCTGCCTGCTGCGCTGGGCACCTTGAAAGTCGAGCCGTTGCGTCGGAAGTTGTCCTTCATGCAAGGATGAGTTTGGAGAGAGTATTGACTTCAGATATTTCGTCATCACCATTTTGATCACCTGTCGCGATTAATTACAAAACGGGAATCTTTTCGGTACCACAGACAAATAACTGATCTGCTGTCAAGAAAAAAAAATGAAGGAAAATTGAAAAGAAACTGGGAAACAATGACAAAACAGAAGCAAATTTCCTGAGTGACATTTAAAATGCCAATTGAACGAAAATCAATAAATAACAGATAAGAATAGCGTCCGGGGAAAATTATTTTTTTCATTCAATTGCGATCCTAAAAATTCCCACAACCTTAAATATCATTATCAGATCGAACCAGTGCGCTCAACACAAGACAAAAGCTGAAAAATTAAACGATTTTGAAGAGCTCTCGACTCCATACTCAATCTTGACATTGCAACGGTAGTCTTGAGTGCGATCGGAAGAGTAGGCTAGAGCGTTGCTACGCTTCGGGCTCAATACTCAAGTGCGATTTCCGATGCCTGTCAAAAGCTCTCACAACGAACTAAACGCCTTGTTTTGGAGACTATATAGTAGGTATACGTCTGATTGAGTCTGTGACATGAAATGATAAATGCACTAGATATTATTACAAATCAAGAAGATATCTACATTTTAAAATGACACTTTGAAAGCCTCATAATTATGTTAAATTATTTTTGATGGGCACAACAGTCTGGCAGCGTGTGACATGAAGCTTTTTTGAAAAAGGTAAAATAAAAATGAAAACAGATTGAGATTTGATTGGGAGACAGTCGAACTTGATAAGGCAATTGAGTCGGCTGGCCAGTAAGAATCGGTCAAAATCATGTTCATTATTTGACTAGGAAAGCTATGGAAACTCAAACAACGAACGTAAATTTCCGTCGCCACAATGTTTCATCAGTTGTGTTGTTGTCAGGTTTCAGTCTTCATTACTTGTGCCGCATTGTAAATTGCTTTTTAAACCCAAAGCCAGTGCCGACAAGGTTGGACAGTCACGGTGATGGACTTCCGAAAAGGAACGGTCCAGATTCCTTTTAACCCTTTTCGGTTGGAGGTGGGTTTTTTTTTTATGAGAGAACATCAATTTCTGAATAAGGATACCGTTGAGAGTGAATGTTTTGGAGGTAAGGATCTGAAGCCTTGTCTACCATTGGACGAAAATTATTGAAGATTTGTGTGAATGAAAAATCCACAAAATCAAACAAAACCACTTGAGGTGTAGGCCTACATTGTACCTATGCATGTATTCAGTTAGCGTTGCTGGCGCTAAATTTCTCATTATTTATAAACGAATTAAGTTAGTGGTAAAAATGACCTGCTCAGTTTTGCTTGACTGTTGCTACTTGACAAGTTCATGTTTGCACTGTTTGTTTTGAATAAATGTTCTCCATGGGAAACAGCTTCTTTGCGCATGCGGATAGCGCCACTGCAAACTTGCAGACACTCGGAGCGGCCTGGCTTAGATCAAAGACAATGAAATACATGTAGCCGTACATCATGAAAAATGACATGAAGTGTTCGGTTTCACTAGTTTTATTTGTCTTCAATCTTCAGCGTGTACTCTGAGTGTTTCAGGGTTATGGGGCAGTGCCATTGGAAAGCATTCCCAAACAGAAGTTGACAGGTTTTTCCCATTCATTTTTGGATGGAATGCCGAAACGAGTTAATCGATAAATTATTTCACTAGCAGGTGCGGTGTCAGGGGGCTCGTGCGGTGGGGTAATAGTAAGAAATGAAATACTTCGAAACAAAACATTGATTTTTCCTCTCTTCGATTGATCATAATTATTAAGATGTCAAACATTATTTGATACATTTTAGAAGTGGCATTTACCACTAATCTTTGGGGATGAAGGAATGATTAACAGGAGCTCCGTATTGTATTTCAAAAAGAAGAAAAAATAGGTCAGAAAAAAGACATCGTCAAGTAGTTTTCCAATACCAATAAGCATATTTACATGGCTTACGAATATACTAATGGACATTTCAATCTAATAATTTTTAAACTCCGTCCAGCCGTCTATCAATTGCATATCATGTTGTAAAACTGGAAACAAACACGATGTTATTCTCATGATATTTAATTTTGACGTTAAATGTTTATGAAAAAGGCCGATAAAGTCTCCACAAGGGATACAAAAGCTGAATGAATGTATTTGAATGTTAGAACAAACCTTTGGAATGAAACTTTTGACGGCACTCACATTTCGCAAACACAGCTTGCTTCGCAGTTCCATGCGAGTTTAAATTTCAAAGCCATAGTAACTCTTAATGGTAGGCCTATAGTTCATAGTGATTGGTTGCGGTACCCGCTGCTATATCAGATTCGAACCAGCCAGCCGGTCCCGGCAAGCTCGGTGGTCGAGTTGTAAGACGTCTGCACTAGTAAGCAGGAGGTCGTGGGTTCGAGGCCACTAGTGTAAGCTTGTGAATTGTTCTCGCAAACCATCGGACAACACCGAGAATGCTGCGTGTGTATAAAACTACGTCGATTTGAAAGGCACTGTCCCTTATAAATTAAGACTGTACAAACTCAAAAACAATACATGCAACAAGTTTTGGCTAAGTTGTGTAAGCGTTTGTCTGCAGCGTTTATACTCTCACCCTTTCGACTCGGTATGTTGGTGATTGAAACTTTGAAGTGTGGCCCAGATCTGGGGTCTCTTTGAGCGATAACACCGATATCCAGGATCCGTGGTAATGTCAGAGGGTACACGGTACGGCACGCCAAGCGTGCGTCGCGGGTATTGCACCCCGTGAGGTTCCCGCTGCGCATCGCTTGTCATCGCTAAGAAATCATCTCGTGGAGTCCGCGGCCCAAAGCAACCATCATCATCAAGCGGTGCCGCTCGGCAAAACACCCCGATGAAAGATGAACAATTCTCGACCCTTTGTCCGCAAAATATGTAAAACTGTCAAGTGATTGCTTGAACGGGTCATATAATAAAGATAAATCTTTAGATCTTTTAAACTGTCCACGAGAACAGAAATGCGCTCGCTTTTGGTTTTATTTGATTTGGTTTGATCTGTGGGAAGGATTGTTTATTTATATTCTCTGAGAGTGGGACCTCTTGAAGATATATCAAAGATCTACGCTGAAAAAAAGTTTTGCTGTAGTTTTCAGACATATATACTTGAAGTTGAAGCTATAAGCGTTTCTGAATTAACACGATTTTCCGCAAATAAAATTCTAGATTTGCGTCAGGAGTGTACAATGCGTTTTAATTTGGAATATAGATAATGATCGATTTTTGATATCTTTTATAGTCGCCCACTCAATCACTCGCTTTCAATTATAAGATCATCCCATTTTTACCAATTCTCTCCGGCTTGATTTTACGGAAACATGCATCAATTGGGCAGAATTTGAATTAATTTCCATGACAATGGAGGCTTATCTTAGATTTCTAAAAGAATATTAATGTTTGCCACAATACGGTTAGTTTGAATGTCAAAACAACACACGTGCTGTAACGTGTTTCATCTATTATTTCCCTGATAAAATCGATTCAAACGTCAGAGCTATTTAAAATCTCTTACCAATATAGTGTTTCACACGAGGAATAAATATTTGATATAAAGAACCGCTAGATCACTTGTTACGAATTCTCTACTTGGGCCTACACCTGTGGATTTGGTTAAATCTATATATAGGATATACTCATAACACCAATTGTTCAAATCACACGAATGACATGGATATGTAATACGGTAGTGCGCACTATGTGGGAACATGGAGGTATGAAATGTGGGAACAACCACACGCTGTTTGCCATTACAAACATGCTTGGGTGTATGGTATCATACTCCGCACAAGATGTGTAAAAATGTGTTCATACATGGTCTCGTGCGTGTCGAGTAAATTCGCTCTCATGAGGAGTGGTTCTAGTCAACATTTCCGCGGTCTTGTTTTGTTTCAGGGTGCATAGTGCATGGACCTCATCTTGCTTGCGGTCGGACGACGGCGGACAGATTCTGTTTGTTTATCAACAAATGTTTATTTACTATTCAAGACTGGCTCAATTATGCAAAGTAGGCGTGAAGTAGTCGGGATGATCCCTGGCGCTCGACCGTAGCCACCGAAGCGGTGCAAACCTTGTGTCATCATCCCACCACAGCCAAGACACCGACTTGATGATATTTCGAGTGAAATTGATCAGAATAAAAACACAAGCGGTGCAGATTGACGCCTCCTATTGGTCACAGCGGGCATTCCATGCATACCATCTTGCCATATTTGGATATGAGTAGGCGTGGCTTAGTACGCTGATTCGCTGTCATGGTTTCCACGCGGGATCGGAGCTAGCGGCCTACGGGGATTCAAGTCCGGGGGGAGGGCGGTGCGTACGTACGCTCAACAACCAGCACTCGATGGGAACAAAAGGGATCCTCAAGAGAAAACCCCAAACCCCCCACCAGAAGTCAGCTTGCCCGTCGCTGCTAACTGAATCCAGGCCCTGTGACTTGAAGGTGTCCCTACGTGTATACACACAGTGTGCAGTGTGTTGTATGTATACACACGTTGTGTGGGGTTACTCACGTGGCCAAACCAACGCATAATAGGCGCACAGTCGTGACACATTGCACGGACGCTTGAATTTTCTCCGATGACTGTTATCTGTTCCATTCACATTGGGTCGTGCACTATCAAACCATCAACATTGTATTAATATAAATATATATTTTCTCGGTCAGTGTACATATGCAGTCGGTGGTGGTAACAAGTTCAACAGTGCACACCCTTCCTCTCAGACCAAACCCACACCTTAGTACATGACACCTGTGCGATAGTTTGGAGCGATCAGACACTACGACTAGGGGGATGCTTGTAAGACGTGCCAGTTTCCAGTCACGATCCTGTAAGATTCTCACTTACCACAACCATTCCCCACTTGCCGGACGAATGATGATAAGCCTGGGTGTCCCACTCTGATGCTGATGTGAACTCTGGCGTGCACTGTCAAGTACTGAAGTCATTCAACCCCTTTGGAGTGTTAGCTTGAAGCTTTGGTCTTTGAGTCTCTCGCACAGCGAGGCACGCGCCCTCACACCGTCCACTATTGACCCGGTCTATACGGGCTTATTACTCCACATCATCCCTGGATACTTTGCCCCTTTCTCCCCTCCGAATTCCCCCTCGTACCTCCACCAGTAGGCCAAACATCGTGTGTGTTACTCCTTAACACCAGCATCTCGCCACCCAAGCGCCGGTCGAGACCACTGGGTCCTTCCCTGGCTGCGTTTCTGCCTGGCTACGGTACACCTCCAAGTGGTCGTTCATGTTTGGAATCCAAGACTCCCTCACAAGAGGCACAACAAACCTCAAGGAAGAACCCTCGGGGACGGCTCAAGTAGGATCCATACGAAGTTGGATGCAGCCGAGCATGGTGGAACAAGGGTCCAGGTAAACTCACAGCTCTCTCTCTCCCTGGACACTTTATCTCTTTTCTTCTAAATCTCATCACCTTTCTTTCTTAATCTTATCACTCCTGTTGGTTACTCCTGGGATGCTGTGCATCTAGAGGAAAAATAGATTTTACTGTCACTGTGTCCCCCCTTCAGTTTGTCAATGCACGCAGCGGTGACAAGCACGTAGCTTCAGTAGTAGTCTCACAGCGCGTGTTGCAGCGTGCGTGCTCGCCCGTGCAGTACTCGCGATGATCCCGTGCAACATCGCAAACCGATTACCGAAGGGAAAACAAATTTACCCAGGCGACCCGTTGCCAGGTCCTTGGGACCCAGGCAGGTAAGACCCCCGACTTAGGTCACTAACTCGCGGTAATTTCCCCTTCCGCACTTTCTCCCCAGCGTGTATGTCTGTGTCTTGCTGTGTCGATCACTACATTTTTTCCCCATCTTGTGTGTTTTCCACTCTATCCTCTCAGCTCCTGTGGGCTGGCTCGGGCGCACTTCGAGAAACAACCGCCCAGTAATCTCCGAAAGAGTAATTTCTTTCATTTCGTCATCGCTCTGTACGATCGGGCCGGACAACCGGTGGAGATTGAGCGAACACAATTCATCGATTTCATCGAGAAAGAGCGGGTAAGTTCATGTTTTATTTCTGAAAAAAAAAAAATCCACAGTCATGAGGTACAATGTAGTTCACTTTCATCAATTTACATGCATGACGCATAGTTTCTCTGCCTGTACACAACAAGCTACACAATCGAAACCAAAAGCTCATTTCTGAATTCCATTCCTCTTCCAGATTCTTTATCGATATCCAAATAAACCTTGGTTTCTCTCCTCAGATTTGTGTTTACCAAATATTGTCCAAACCACGCTTTAAAGATAATCATCATGGTTTCTAACAAGGGTCGCATGTGTTACAAACCACGATCTTCCTTCCATCTTTGTCCCTGCATCTTGCCGCCTGATCCCCGCCGTAATGGCCGGGCAGACCCGCTCGACGACGCACGCTGCAAAATTATGGAAACAAATTCCCGTTCCAAGGACTCCAGGTTTACCGGGTCGGCCGAGTTTGCGATCTTTCGATCGGAAGTCTCGTCTTGCGACTAATAATCACCGATATTTGGCAGCTGAGAGCACAAGCCACAGGGCATGTCGATAATGCTCTTGCCTCTGTCTGCCTTGCGCGTCGTGTAATTTCTTTTACAACCAAATTAATTTTCCTCGCTTGGAAACATGAATCCTTGATTCACCGATGTTCATGCTCATCTAATTCCCTGGTTTCATTTGCAGGAACCCGACAGTGCTAAAACCAACAATGGAATCCACTACAGGTTACAACTGCTCTACAACAACGGTAAGTTTATGTAATTATTAATTTTATTCAGAAATTATTTTATTAATTCGGAAATTAAATCCCTGAACGAATACTTACCTCGCAAATATCTTGGAAAAATTCACTGAATTGTTCTGTAGAAAATATTTATGATACATAATGTAACATTCTAGACTCAGAATAAGATTGTTGAATTTAAGACAAAAATGAGTATGTGAACCGTTTTGAAAGAAATAGACAGTATTACTGTTAGAATGCAAAGCCTCACAATCAAGCCATCAAGTATCCAAGAACTACTTGATGTGGTTGCTTCATCACTCAGTTAGAACGACGATGATACACTAATTTACGGGGAAAAAATTGAATCAGATCAAGAAATGCTGGCAGCAGTATGATGTCATGTGCGATGTCTTGGATGTTCCTCCGTCATATTTCGATGATCCTGAGTGCAGAAAGGAATCAGAAATTGAGAAATCAAGGCCTTTCATTTCCCGCGTTCATAGTACGGGATTTCCCTTCCCCGACTAAACCATGTAGCGCGTATATAGTGACAATTTAATCACTGGCCGACCGTGGCTAGCTTGTTATTCAATTTAGGAGGCGAATGGGGCCCCATCTCCCGCTAAAATAGGATTAGTCAAACACCGATACAGCCATATTCAGGGCACTCCACGTTGAACACGTTCATCATACTGGTTATGTCCTACTTCGAACAGCGAAAGAAACTGCCGATTTTTATTTCTTTTATACCGGACAGGCGTTAACCGCTCCGGGAAAACACTCGCCGGACCGTAAATCTTTCGCATGGCCTGCGGGGCCTGAGTCGCTCACGGCCGGCCGGCCTCGCTCCTACCGTACGCTGACCCACTACGTATAATACTCCACAGCAACACAAAAACTGCAATAATGCAGTACATGTGATATGCTTATTTTAATAAGTGCACTTGAGTGCGAGTTGCCAGGCCAGGGAGATTGGATTGTACTTGATGCCTGACTGAACTCGTTATCATATCTGATGCGAGAAGGCGCATTACTACTGATTAGAAAGATCAAACTACCATTAGCAGATTGCAGCTTTGGATACAAACGCTTGAAAGGACCAAAAACAATCAAATATTCAATTAATTCCCAGGGTGTCTGCGAAAAAAAGGCCTGAATTTTGTTTATATATGAACGTTCCAATGATTAACTTGCTCGATTCTTTTTGGCCTATATTCTGAGTCCTGATCGTAATATCTTTGCTTTATCTATTAAGGCCTATGCGTACTTTTCAAATAGTATAACATTGAATCAAAAACGTTCATGAAGAAATAGATACTCCAAACTTACGAAATCTGACACTTTCACAGTTTTTACCTAGATTAGTATTCTGACCCTTCAGATCTACTCACTGAAAGCTTGTAAGACGAAACAATCATGGATATTTTTTGCCTTGCTTTAAATCTGAAACTATTCTATCTCAACGTCGTGAGTTAAAGTAATAACCAACATACCACCCAATGCGTAATATGCAGCGTGTTATCGTGAATAAAGAAGTGAATCATGTGCCATTAATGACTTGAAAGAAGTAACTTAAGTGCCTAGTTTCATCTTTTCTTGAATATCATTTGACAGGTGCCAGAACGGAGCAGGATTTGTATGTTCGACTTATCGATTCCATGACAAAACAGGCAAGTAAAAAAGTTACTTCTTTCCAATTGTTTCATTTTTATTTGGTCAACTTAATTGTAATATTGCTGTTCGGTTTCGACGCTGTCATGGCGGCGCGTTGTTGCCAGCACGTTGCACCAATCACCGTCCTCGTTTGATTCAAAGATAAGACCAAGGTCCCGATTGGACAGATAGATATCTCATTTCTGTGAAAGCCATTGTGGATCCAACCTCGTGGCTTTATGGGTCCCTTGGTATTCAAATTAAATCGCACGTCTTTACGGCAGGGCGAAAGTGTAAATGATTATTACTATTATGGAATGTGGCGATTGAGATAATTATGTTTCATATAGCTGTTTGTTCGTGTTTCATAGCTGTTTGTTCGTGTTGTGCTTATTGATTTTAAATCATACATTCCTAGTATTTGTGGAAATTTAGAGAAAAATGATACGTATGAAAGTCGATACAGCCTGGAAATGATGCATTAGTGTTCGGTATCGAAGAGTATACATTGCACTCACTGGACCATGTATTACAGATCACATAGTTTCAATGCTTTTATGAGCTTCTTAGCTTAAAACTCCTGTCTGTCTACACGTGTAATGTTTAAAACTGTACATCTTGTATACCTGGAGGAGTTTTTCTGAAAATTCAGGGCATGAAAACCAGTAAGAATTTGTGACTATTTTGTTTTTGAGAACTTCCATGGTTTTGGAGTACAGTGTCATGGATTCCTTGTAATTCACCAGCACCGCGAGTGGCTTAATCCAGCCTACCGTTCCAATCGCTCATCACACGGCGTAAAGCTCTCACGACCACAAGGGGTTGCATTATTTACCCCCCGTATAACAACGCCAACTCAATAGAGCTGTGCTTTAGGTCGTCTCACTACCTACAATCGATATATAATTAGATGTTAAACAACTTGAGTTTTTTTTTTAAATAGACACTTTCTACACATCCCTCTCGTGTGGACAGAATGAAATTTACCCCTATCTTCAGTAGCTTATAATCAATTGGTTTTCCTCTTTGTATTGCCTTTTGTGTGTTTAAACGCTTAGGCTGATACTTTGGGGGGCTGCCATGAAGGATAGTGAGTGTACTGCCTATACACTCGTCGTGGGTACCGCTATTTAGACCACACGGCCCTACGGGCAAGGGTATCCGCATGTACTAGTTTCTCGCCTACGGTGGGCTTTGGGTTGAAGACTAGACAACCTCCAAGGATCACGCCACAACTTAATGTAATCTTTGCTCGGAGTAGTTTTTTGACCGATCAAGAATCGAACACATTATTGACACGAAAATCTTCTCGAAATGGTACATTACGAGCAGAAGAAAGACGCGCCTGTGAAAGACAAACTTTTTATGTTAATTTTCCCTGTAATTATAACACCTTAAAAACCCCAGTTTGACATTGTTAAAATCGGACTTTTTTTTTCCTTTTCATGGAAACAATTGGTTTGAATTAAAAGTTGGATCAACTCCCTTTGCCATCCCTTCCAAGCTTTTTAACTTCGTGAAACTATACATCATCATAATGGAAACATTATTCGTAGAGGTATATTTTTTTTCAAGTGGGATTAATCATGTCCCTGGATGATTTTCTGATGAATTCACTGACATCATTGTTAACAATTACGGAAAAGTATCATGATTTAATTACAATATAAATAATTAAAGGACTATCCGATCGCTTGAATTGTGATTTTGGACATACTTGAGGAAGACCCAGGCTAACAATCAGCCAAAAGATTTAAACAAGTTGATAAGTTTAGATTTTTCCTTTTGAAAAACACAAAATAACCCATAGGGTCTATAATTTATATTTCCATGGCATATTGGTGTATACATGCATCCGTGGCTAATAAGTACAACCCAACCTTTACGAGTGAAACAAAGCGCCCTCAGAGTGTGATTCTTAATTCTCCACTTGGTTAACATTACAAAAAAACGTTTACGTGCCGTTTTTATGCCATTGCCAATCATTGGACCACTCACCATGCAGTTAAGCCCAACGCGCACTAGTACGCTCGACTCGAGACACCACCAAAGCCGAATATTTGCTCGTCAATTGTCCCGCTTTCATCCATCTCATCCAAATTTACAAACACAACATCTCAATTTTCCCATCTACATCATCATCACAATCATCAAAAGTGTGTCTATCTCACGCATTGACATGCCCGTTATCACTACCAGAGTGCATCACGCACGATAGATAGCAATTTCAATTTGCCGCTCCACACTACCAATTACCAAAGAGAGCGCGCGCTAATACCAATACTCCCGAGATGGTTCCCGACCCTCCTCTGGGGTCCAATTCCACGAGAAATTGGCCGGTAAACCAGTTAACGAATCTACGGAGACCAATCGCACGCGTTACGTCATTATGGTTTCTGTTGGCGAGACGCGGGCTTGAGTGGCTCTCGGAATCCACGGTCCGTGTTGTGGTAATTATCCCCAGCGCGACCGGCTGGAATCACCGGGGGACGAACGGCACGAGTCGCCCGGTCGCTTTGGGATGATCGTCGCGGTCGACTTAATCGTCAGCGAATGAATCGGAAGCTGGAAAAAAAATCGGCAAATGCAACAATCACAAGATCTGTCAAGGTCACGTCGGAGATACAACGTGAAGATGTTTAAATAATACATTTCCAACTCTTTAAACGGAACATTGATTCCTGAATTGTGTTACTTTGTCTTATACTTATTATTGGCTTGGGTTAATTCACCCATCTTCGTTATTTGAAAGCTTGCTACTGTAAAACAAAAAAACCCCAAAAAACTTGCTACTGCAAAAAAGAAAGAAGCAAGAACGTTAGAACGTTCTTAAACCATATCTTTCATTCTAATTCTGCATACAGTCCACGCACGACACAATAATGGTGCTGATTGCTTTCTTAAATAAATGCTATTAATTTGCTTAACTTTAATAAACTAATCCGAGACCCTCTTAACAGTTAACAAACGTGTAATATTATTCACAATATGGGCACTACAATTGAAGCTCGATGTGGTGAACTCATCAAAGCGAATCAACAGAATTTGTCCGCAGAAAATGCCGTTAATTACTTGATTTCCAAAGTAAATATCCACAAAATATCTGCACTGTGACGTAGGGCAGGTACGTATGCGAGCCACGTAGAGGTCAAAATGGCCGGCTCGCTACAGCGATATCCTCGCGGTCTTTTGCTATCGACGTTCACCGGAGTCAGCCCAGCAATACGGATATCAAGGCATGATGCTACTGTTCCATTAAACTTTAATGCGTCTGTAACGGCTAACAAGGAGCAGTGAACTACGAACGTGGAATTTGCTGACAATCAGATAATTAGAAAATGAACCTTTTTGTTATTCAAGAAAGGTTTTCATTTAAACAAAAATGATTGGCGCATGCGCATCACAGTTATATATTCCGTTTGCACATTATCAGATTTTGTATCAAATGAAAACACAATGTTACAGTAACAGTCATAGTGATTAAATACGTTCCGTATTGAATAAATATGAACCTCATGAAGTTTTAAAATGATGGATTTTGCGGCATGGTTTATTTCCCAGCCTCTTCTCCAACACACAAAACAAATTCCGTGCAGAGAACTGTGTCTTACGTTTCTGAAGGCAAGTCGACGGCAGTATCATATTGTGATGAGTGAAAATGAATCTCTCTTAAAACTGTGTTTGGACGGAAAACACCGCTGTTGTATCAGTGTTGTTGATGTTGCGACAGTGGTTATTAAAATTTCCTGTAGCAATTAAACAGTCAGGGGTAGCAAGTATTTACAGAACAATACCAGGGCACGCAATCTGCCTGGGGGGCTAGCTATAGGCATATGGGGCCCAATATCAAGATTCTTTTCACACGTTTATGTTTTTCTTTGAAACCGTTTTCATTCTTAACTGAGGTGTGCATGTGGTGCAGTTAAAGAGATTTGAAATACAAATTCTATGCGACGGACAAAATATGTTAGGAAACGTGCTTTGTATCTGAAACTTAACAAAATTGGGTTAGGGGATGACTCAGTCGTCAAATGACGACAAAAGTGTTTGGTAAGGAAGTCGAAATTAGTTGAACTGCCCTACTCTAGAACGTAAAATCATCAAAGTTTACAAAATACCTATAACTTGAATATTAAAAATGAGAAGTTATTATTTTTTTGCTGTTGCCACTTTTAAACCAAAGATCAATCCAATTTATTTCCCGTCAAACTATTGTCTAGTTTGAGACCATCGCAAATTGCGTACACCTGTTTAAAATTCAATTAATTATCATGTGCATCAGGTGCACACATAGACAAGCTCTACAGGTACTTTCTTTCATCCTGATTGGTCGAATGTTCTCTTTCTTACGTCACATCTGATTGGCTATTCCACATTGAATTATTTAATGACATTTCTAGAAAGGCATTATTGAGACCGACATTATCAATTGACTTTGTGCTTCTGGTAAGTTTATAATTTAGTACAATAGCAGTTATCTGGTCTAAATAAAGAAAATTTTACTAAAATTCTGAGTGATTTTTTAATCCAATCACCGCGGCTGTACGTTAATACTTTGTATCTCAGAAAGCAGAGTACTCGGGACACCAACTTCAACTCGCTTTTGTCGCTCTTAAAAGCTGACTTTCGTTTGATTTGAAGTGTTACAAACTTGCAAGTATCGTAATTCTACATCTTTGGAAACCTATGTAGTCTGTAATTTTCAGATAATAACGGTATTAGGGGCTCAAATGAAGGATAGTTTATGTTTGACTTGGTTCGTGGAGTTTGTTGTGGCCGCTTAGGTGTGGCGACGTGTGCCCATTCATATGGCTTTCACATCGGATACGTCTAGGCTCCAGATTAAGGCCTAGCTGTCAAAGTGTCAGACTTTCACGAACATTATGCACAAAGGAAGGAATGCTTTCTGCATTCAGATGCCATTTTATTTAAATGTTGTTAACGTAGAAAGTGTCAGGGAGTCAAAACCAATAGAATGAAAATGCATGTCTCACAAAATTGAGACATTTTGTGCCTTGAATTTCTTTGAACATGCATTTAAACATTAAAGTCAAATTTTGCTTAGTTAAAAATGAAGACTTGAAAGTTGAAGGCCAAAAAGCTACATTTTAAGCAAATGATCAACAGTAAGAGCTACCAATGCATAAATTTAATTTGATTTTTTTTTTTTAACTTGATTTTGAAATCAAATACATTAGAAGCACTTAAAATGAATACACATTAAATGCATGACATGCTCTGCCATTAGCACAGCCCATAATGCCTCATGAATAAATTAATACAAAAGCTTCATCAAAAAGCTTTATATTTGCGACTTTTGGAATATCTAAGGATCAGTGTTGAGATTTATTCATCCATTACTAGTGAACTATGCCTAGGTGTAGAGAGCTTTTCTTTGGGATGTTGCCTCATTTGCCTGGAATGGTTTTTAGTCAGGGCGAGCCTTTTTTATATAAATTATGCACCTTTGTTTCCTAACAAATGTGCTGAATTTCCAACTTGATGCCCGTTGAATTTTTTGAAGTAAATGAAAATCCTCTTGTAAGGCTGGTCAACTGTGTTTAGTTAAGATTGAGATTACTAGTGCTAACAAGTGAAATAAATTGGTACAAGTGTTTGGGGATAAATTTTACAGAGCGTCTTGGCACAAAATTTTCCAAAGCACTTAAAAAAAATGTCTAATAGCAAAACAAGGTACCAGCCAATATTTCATGTGATAAAACTTGCTTGGGATAGTTGGTTTTTAATGCTTTATATAAATTTGTTGAGAAATAATTACTGCAGAATTATGCATGTGATTAAAACTGTTTCAGTGTTTTTCTCTGAATTTAATGTTTGGACTTATTTTTTTTGTACTTGAGCACCCACATACAGATAAATTGCACTAAGAATATGAGACATATTTGGTTATTATTGTCTGTCTCCAACCCTACTTTTCAATCCTGATCTAATCTCTCATTAAACATGTGGCATTTCACAAACTGAGCTTATTAAATCAGTGACATTCTACAGGATTCAATCCGAATTTCAAGACTTCATAAATTTTGTATCGGTAGTTGACACAATTAAATTGCCTCATTTTATTCAAATCCATTTTGAACTTTCAACAACTATTCAGGACAAAGTTTTAACCTTTTTGTAATCTGGTTTTTTTTTATATCTGTAGGCCTATACGTCAAAGAAATTTGAGCGTGCACTTTTTTTAAAACAAGGATTCTGAGATGGAACTGAATCAAGATTCTTAATTTAAAAAGAAAAATTTTTTCAATATTTTTATTCAACTGTAAGTAAATTTGTTATCATGGATGGAATTGTTCCCAAATACAAGTATGAAATGTTATATAAAGTTGCATTTGGGAACATTGACACTGAACTGCATACACTAGAAACATTGCAGTGCTGTAACTGTAAGTGTAAGATATCACGGTCTGGTTTCCGCGCTGCACGCATGGTGGGATGCACATTCATGATGGATTAAAGGTCTCATGGATCTGACTGATCCCCTAGCTCTAGACCCTATATAGCGCTCGGCATGTGAGGTTTTCCACCGGAGTTACTTGACCCGCACACAGTCTGGCGACCCTAAGACGTAAGATCAGAGAGATCTTGCGGTACAGAAAGGAGCATTTACCCATGGTGGGGTGTTCCTTGTGGTTGAAACATATGAGCAATGCGTGACTAGAAATTGGCCTAAGCAAATGAGATCAGGCTTCAGGGAAAATATTACACTTGTTTTGGTTCTTGAAGCTGTTGATCACTGAACTGCTTTCATTTTTATGTATTCACCATAAAATTGTAATATGGCTGTATTCCTACATGCACATATCCCATATTATGTGTTAGTCAGTGAAATATTGATGTATCATGTAATATTAATGGTCTCTCTATTAGTATTACTGCATACAGTGTACTTTACCAAGATAATTTAAACAAATACCGGTAATTCTATAGGTTTGTCTTTTTATTTCACCAAGACACGCATTCCATAATGCAAGCTAATGTTACTTTATTTTGTGCTTCACTGTTTGCTATACACACAAAATCATAAATTAAATTGTAAAAGCTTTGTAATTCTGATCATAATTTCTGTTCAGAGATAAAACAATTATGTTTGTTTTTACTTTTTTGTCTTCTTATTAGGCTATTACTTATGAAGGACAGGACAAAAACCCGGAGATGTGTAGGGTTCTTTTAACCCATGAAATCATGTGCAGGTAAGTGGTCTTACAATCAGAAATATTCTTTTTTGTAGGAACCATATAAATAACCAAAAAATATAAATAAAGTTGAAAAAGGAGAAGGCATGCAAAATGCCGTGTTATGTAGCTTACTAAATATTACAGGGATTTGGACAGGGAAGTGATACGGGTTTGGAAACTAATTTGTGAAACTTAAAAGAGTTATGGAAATAATCTCAGGAAGATACAGTTTGGAACACCTTTCAAATTGCATTTGTAGAGGAGTATACTCTGTTACTAGTATTTGGAAGAAGTACAAATGGCCCATTTTTATTCTGAGGTGAGGTATAAATTTGGAGCTTTTTTGGGGGGCTGTTTGTTCCTTTCTTTTTCACTGGTGGGCCTTATTGACATGTATGAATGCTAGAAAGTACAATTGACTGAATTTTATGGTGTGTAAAGGTTTTTAATTTGGAAGCTTTCTCACTTTTCCCCCCATTTTTCGGTGGGTCTTATTTGACATGTATGTATGCAAATCCCAATGGAGGTGGGGTGGTACGCACTCAACTCATGGCTGGGTTCCTTAGATAGAAGTTTCAAACCATGAAGAGGGGGTAAAGAGGGGCGTAGGAACCAGACCCCAGTAATTGGATCCAAAATAGCTTGTCAAGCACCCGGTTTGTTTGATTTGCTCATCGTGGCCCCGTTGTTGTCTGACGCTGGTCAGAAACAGACGGAGTGAAGGGGCTACAATTGTCCGATGTTCTTCTTCACCGCGTCTTTCTTTGCTGAATAATTCACGGGGCGCTGCTGTGTGTGCGCATTGGCACTGTACTTGACCCCGTAGTTTGCTTGGGCTGTATGTACGGAGAGGGGGGACGTCTCTCCATTGCGCAGCAGGCAAGCAACCACTAGAGAATGCATTCTAGCTTGTCTGATGGGGAGAAGGCGGGCGGAGTGTACAAGATGCGACATCTCCTCGCTCGCCGGGGAGGATTCAGAAGCAGCCCCCAGAGAGCCACTCCCGAGGTGTCTCTGCGTGGAAAGAGCAGGGTTCCGTCTGCGCTTCATTGGAACCAGAAGTGGTTCTTCCTCGCCCCTTTCTTGTCTGCGTCCCTAGCGGATGCGAGCAAGCCGTTGTTTGTTGGGACTGCACAAACTTTTGGGTGATTAACCTGTACAACAGAAGAAGGGCGAGTGAGTGGAAGGGGGGGGGGGGGGGTGTATGGGACAGTTATACCGCCTTAATGTAAGCTGTAAAAGCAGCGTTTTGACAGCCTCAACTTCATGCTCTATTTGTTTCCAGTGATGACAGATAGCCACTCATAACTTTGAAGAAGAAAAATTGTAGGTGCTCAGAATCTCATTCTGATGGAAAATGGGATGTGATCACTGCTCTAAACAGAACCCTAGTATATTTGGATTGGCAGGGCAGAGTGCTAACATGTTAGCATTGCAAATTTGCCCTGTCAAAATGGGAGCTCTTGTAGTCACGCACACAACTTGCTGTCCAAACAGAGTTTGATAAAAAGAACACATTTTTATTTGTCCAGTTGGTCGTTTAAAATCTGCTGATTCTTCAAACTATTAGCTTTCCATCTTTTCAAATCAAATGTCATTTTCAAGAGTAAATATCGAATGCATTTCTCAAGTCAAGCACATTTTTTTCCAGCGCCGATTAAAGACATGTTATTTGTAGGGCACTCTGGTGACTAAATGTACATCAAGTTCATGTCCAATCACAGTGTGCTCTTTGTTCTGTTATTGACCCAGAAATGAGATTATGTAACGTTCCCATTTCACCTGCCCTCAATAACTTGATGGGAAAATTGGAGTGTTGGCAAGGGCTTATTATGCTCAATTTGTGTCATCTTTACAGATAAATTGAATGTCGCTGTGCGCAGACAAAGCGTCATCAATGCTTGCATCTCTCTCTCCGCTCTAGCCAAGCACATCAAGAGACTGATACAATCTGTACATCACGATGATTGCTTTAAGCTTGCCTATCATATTTTATTATCGACCATTCAAGTGGCAATTCAATATCCATTTTGTCGTGGACGCGCGGGGTGAACGGATCTAATCCCTGGATGCTGTTTCTCGCCTCGAGACTGGAACGCGATTAAGAAGCTTAAAGCCGTGCTTATGAAAAACAAAGAACTAATCCCTTGAATGAAACCAACTACAAAAAAAATTTGGCAAGGAACGGCATGCCGAGTAAGGACATTGTACACTCGCGTATAGAATCAGTACGTACGCACAGCTAATACCAGCTTCAGGCTAAATATTAGCGTACAAAAATAAGTTCTCTTAAAGCTGACTTGGTGAAGTAGCAGACGAGAATTGATGTGCTGTGGTTAATCTGTCAGTTTTCTCTAATTATTTATATCTTAAGAATTATTTATATTAATTTTTCCTAATTATTAGCCTTTTAAGGCAAATACCGCAATTTCCCCTTTTACGGTGCTAATTGTCCAATGTTGAGAACTTGGAATTGATGGCTTCAGGTTATTTTCCTAGCGGTGAGGTGCACTGTAACCAGATTGACTCTTTCTATTTTGTTTCCAATACTTGTGATCACATTTGAACTGAAAATCAAGGAAAAATTATGAGAGAGTCTTTGTCTTTACATTTTGACTTGAAATTTAAATTAAAAAAAACAAAAGCTGATTGTTTTGTTTTTGATTGTCTTCCTTGTATTCAGTCGTTGCTGTGACAAGAAGAGTTGTGGAAACCGAAACGAAACACCGTCGGATCCTGTCATCATCGACAGGTAAGTCTAGACATCTGAAATAATTTATTCTCTTTTGTTGTGTATGATGTTTCTAGGTATTTTTGTAGACTTTTGTGTGCCCACTTTATTGCTCAACATTGTAAGGGCATAATAAGTTGCATTTCTGGATTTGTACACATTTATCAAGAATTATGAATTGGTATTATGGTGGCTATATATCCTTGGGGTCCAGTATTTAAAGCTGGATTGGAAATCGTATTTACATGTAAAGGATTAGAAGGAATCTTCAAGTAAGATTGTACAAATACTGACATTTGAATTGCAGCAAGATAGACCCATCAATTCAAGAGTTTATATTCATAATTCTTCACATTGCCTACTTAGGAATGGTTGCAATTTGAAAGTTAACTCCTGAAACCGTTCATGTTATAAGATTTGAAGGTTCACTAACCTGATCAATCATGTAAATAGTATATTTTTCATGCCATCTTTACTAGTAACATTTTGTGTAAGGAACATTTGTGCATTGGAAAAAAAATTATACTTCAGACTTCAGTATGGTGATTCAATATTTTTTGAAAAAGATTGAGGTTGTTTGATATACATGTAGGATTTAGGGTCGCTGAGAAAAACAAATCAAATGTAACTCAGATTGTAGGATTTTATAACAGCCTCATAAGCACTTTCCCAATTTTGTATTTGCACCATTGGTTCTGCGATAATGTCTTCACCCTGAAAGCAATTTATCTGAATCTACAAAGATATTAGCATACAATAACACACCACCCTGCTGCTGAAATCCCCTCTTTTTCCATGCGTTCTTGAAATAACCTGAGCATAACCCTAACCTAATTCTACTGGGTTCATTGAACCAAATGTCATCAGTCTAGAAAAGAAGTCTTAAAACATCCCATCAAAACGTCTGCAACAAGGTCTTAGAATGATGGAGTTACCAGGGATCCTATAATGCAACCCTAAGCTGTTCAACAGTAACTTTGTAATGGCCACAAACGGGCCTCAACATCACAGAAACTGCATACCAATTTGTAACACTGAGTCATAAACATTGAGTTCTTCTGAAAAGTAGCCCCTAGATTTTTTCATGTTCTTGACATTAGATTTTGTCAAATTGACACTACAGGAAGTGTCCGTATTCCCCCAGAAAATACAGATCTTACTACAGACCCCTGATGATTTCAAACTGTCCCATTTTCCATGCACTTTGCTCCAGTCCATGAACTTTCTTGTTTCCCCGTTAACCAGCTACTGTTTGGCACTTTAATAAAATGGAACAAAAATGACAGAACAAAAAAAACTGAACACTATAAAAGACCGTGGAGGTTTTAAGTTGACACAGCTGAGGGCATACATTGGCCCAATAATACCAGGCTGCTTCCCCTGGTTTGCTCTGGTTGGTAGTACCCTAGTCACTGGCTGCCCCTGCTGGTAAGCCTTTCTGCTAAGGTCATCATTTTTGCAAAGCTCTCTTTGGTCTTTGTATCCGATTACACCTCTCAGATCCGGACAGTTCATATAGGGCCATCCCCGAGTGACAAAATAAAAGAAGAGTAATCGCTTACACATGTGAAAGTGAAAAGAGATCAAGAGGGAAAAGCTTCTTCGTTAATGGCTTCATTAAATGACATTGCCACAGATTGAGACAAAAATGTAGAGGAGATAAATGATCACTGTCTTTGTTTTATCTCATGCTACTTGGAATATACAAAGTCCTTTTATAATTTCTGGAAAACCGTGGCCTATTTTCTTTTTCTTAAGCTAATAATGTATCATTGTCTCGGATTTCCTTGACTTTTTTAGTGTTGGAGAACAGAGGTCACCAGAAAGTCTGTTGGAGTTGTAGTCATTCAAACCAATGCGAACCTCAGTTTCAACATTATGAATTGAAATGTAAAATCCTCCTGGACAGTAGATTATCACTTATTAAACCCTTCAAATTTAATTCAGAGGTCAAAATGGGTCAAGCCATTTTAGGTCCGTCTGATTACTGCTTCATGACTGTGAATACATTGCTGAGGTAGGATTCTGGTGGATAGATACCAGACTCAGTTGATTTCAAATTCAAATGTCAAAACAGGTCAGGTCAGGTCAATTTAAATTGGGTCAGTTTCTGTGATTCTGTTTTGATCTTTTTTTGGTGATCTATTGAGCAGATAATCTAGAATAATCTAGAATTTTACCATAAGACACTTCAAATGTTAGAATTCAGACGTTTGATCATCGATCAGGTCAACTTGGGTCAGGTCAGGTCAATTCAGGTCACGCTGGTCTTGTTTTCATTGGCTAGTTGGCACTTGGCACTTCATGCATAATTGATGAATCTCCTTCTAGTTGATGGACTCTACTCCCCTCAGTCTTCGTCATCTAATTGAATTGGTTGATTGGCAATCTCCATGAAATTGGCTTGCTCTTCCCGACGCTTTAGTGCGTTGGCAAGGCCAGGCAGTCCCCACCGCTTTCACTCTCATTTGCATCAGAAAGCTAATTGTACCATGAATCTTTAATTGGTAACGTGATACCGGACTTCACAGAATAATTTTAACATCATTATTTGTTTGGCTGTGGGTCAAACCATTTCTTTTGATTTTTGGATGTGGTTGAGCAACGTTGGCATTATCATAATCGTAAGCTAATTCTTAGTGTTTCATCGTATGAAGTGCTTACTTATTTATTCATTTTATTATTTAATGACTGCACTACTAAATCATTAGTGTGAAAAAAAACTGTGAATGTAAAATGCTTCTTAAAGGATGTATAGTAAAGAGGAAAACAATGGAAGATACTTAAGGCTTGTTTGCCGTTACCCGGAATCCAAAAGCTCAAAACATTGAAATGACTATCATGAACCCCCTCACCCCCCCCCCCCCCCCCCCTCCACATTGAGTTTGGCTTTGTTCCTATCTGCTCTAGCCAGACTCTTGCTAACAGGTCACGTTTCAGTTTGCTTTCTCACCTGCATTGAGAGGTTTTTTTTCAAGGGCATTCACCTGATACTTTACATGTACCATAAATTCTCACACTAAAGTTTGATAAATTTGAAGAAAAAAAAACCCACAAAAAAACCCACAGAATTGAAATGATTGAATGTTTCTGGAAACCATAGCAGCATTTTGTCAGTTTTGAAAATACATAATATAAAATGAAGAGAACTAGTTTAAGTTAATACCCATAATAAAAAAAAGCAAATTTTGGGGTGCCCAGTGGAAAATAATTCAGCTTGCTGGATTGTGAAATGTTTGCTTTATTGCAGCTTATTCAATTTATGCTATACTGAAATAATTTTTTTTTAAAATCAAATATACATGTACCTTGTCTTGTATTTTAGTCGGCTTCCCTTGTTTGTCCCATTTTTTTGAAAGATAAAAAATTGCAGCAAGGCTAAATTTATTATGCTCATTATGTTGTTAAATTTTATCAGCTGGCCTCTTCGACCTTTGACCTTCATAATGTAGTCTCTTGTCCTGCGTCCTGCACATCTGGAAATGTCATCATCTGGCCATAGCAAATAGCCTCATATATCAGAGCTAGAATTAATATCCTCAAGTCATAGTCTAAGGTCTGACTGGTGTGATTTTTTTTGGTGAGTAGAAGGACTCTCATTCGACCTTTGACACCTGACATTAAGGGTCATGTCGGTTACCTGGATCTCCCCTGTATTTTTCTGCACCAGGAGATAGATATGTCCTGGTTTAGTGGAGAGGTGACATCATAATATCTGGGTCAACCTGATGACATGTGTTGCTTGCTGATAAATATGAGACGTTGGATCCAAACCACAATTGGAATCAGAAACAAAGAAACATATCAGTTTCTTTTCTTTTTCACAAGTACGTTTCTCACACACATGTTTTGGAAATGATGAATGTATAATGAGCGTATTGTGTTTTATTTTGCCTTTGTATGACTGAGTTGGTGTGTACACGAAATTTGGTAAATGACAAGGAGAATTTAACAAAGACGTCCAACTTTAGGGAATCGATTCCACGGACGATTGAAAAGACCCCGAGAGGCCGAAGCACTCTTGCCAAGGATGTATTCAGGAAATGAAATTTTCAAATGGGTATTAGATTGAAAAAGTGGACGGAATAAAAAAAAAAGCTTGGACTGGTTTGACAGTGGCATGACACTGGCTCCAACCAGCCCTAGACCGAATCTAAATTCTATGAATATGAGAGACTCTAAAGTGCAAGGCACCCTGGTTTGATTGTACAGAGATGCGCTAATGTCTGATGGGCTTAGAAGCTAGGACTGCAAGGGGATCAAACAAGGCACAGTGTGGGAGGATTTCTTAGTGTGAGGGTTGCAGTCCCACGGGCAAGGGGAGAGGGGTGATGAAGAAGGGGAAGTAGGCACTGCTATCCGTGTAAGCACCGCCAACGAGGCGCGATATAGCTGAAATGTCTTAGCGGGGAATGGATGCAGGGATTGTGATGATAATGAGACTCATCATATCTTGCCATCGCTTGTTTACCTCCTCAAGTCACCCCTCCACCGATCCAAAATGAGATGGCATAGTTTTGGAGACCTTATCCCACATGTAGGACAGTAGGTGTAATGAGGGAAGGAGGCAAGGCTGTGCTAGATATTCCCTGAAAGTGAAAGGTTGCATTGATCCAATAATTATCAGGATAAAGTGAGGCATTACCTTCATTTGATACCATTTTTGGTTTTAAATTAATAATGGAAACACTTGGAACACATTTTTTTTTTTTGATTTTTTTTTATCAAGCAAAAAAAATAATTTACAAATAATTGTAGATATTTTTCTGTCTTCCCATATGATATTAACATTATATTTTAGGAATTATTGCACATTTTTTTATTTTACGGGTTAAACCGCCTGTACTTTGTTCATTGTTAATTCCTGTTTGCCGTACCAATTTTGTGTCCTCCCCCAGCAGTGCACTCTGGAGAGTAAGTGCCCCTTAATACCAGCCCACTCAGTCAATTTACATCGCTGATTAGGAACATTTTAAGTTCACTTCTGCCTGATTAAATCACCATAGACCCATCTCTTTTTTTTTCGGAGCAGGGGCAGGACTCGTAACTCCAGTGTCCATAAAACCTATTGTTCATGAGAAGAGGGTGGGTTGAAACCAACGACTTACAACCTTGACTTGGCTTGAGCTGGTTACCAAGTCAAAGAGACGTCAATGCCAAATAGCCGCCGCTGCTTCAATATGACCAGGGTATATCTGGTTCCCCGTCTCACTAATGCACTGGATTTTTTCCTCCTTTTTTTTTTTGTATTTGGGCACCGTCCTATAGTTGGGCCCGTCCTTTTAAAGCCCATTAGCCTGTGCTGAGCATGTGGCCGCAGCGTTTCAAATCGACGCTGATGATGAAATTGACTCAGGCAGAGGGATGAGCCTCGGTCCGTCGGTCGCGCGCTCTGTGTTGACTTTTCCTGTGCCATTCTTTGCTCTCCAATTTGGACGATCTTCTCTCCATCTGCCATTGTGTGGTATTGTCTTGCCATCCATAGGGCTTTCTGATGTACAGCTAATCCCTGTCCTTAGGGAGTTGGTTTCTTTGCTTGTCTCTCTCTCTCTCTCTGCTCGTTCTTCCTTGT